GCTTTCATTTGTGTAGAAAACACTTTGAAGAATGAGTATTCCATAACACTTAATTGTGCTCATGAGGCAGTTGATTGAACAGAATAATGGAATACTGAATGGTTTAAAATTAGGAAAGATGTGAGCCTGGGTTGTATTCTTTCATCATACTTGTTCAGTCTGTATGCTCAGCAAATTATCTGAAAAGCTGTATAATATGAAGACAAATTTGGCATCAAGATTGGAAGAAGATTCATTAACAATCTGCTATATGCAGATGATACAACCTTGATTTTTGGAAGTGAAGAGGATTTAAATAAAATACTTACTGATGCATATCAGAGACCACAGCTTTCAGTATAGGTTGCACTTCAGTGTAAAGAAAGCAAAAAACCTCACCACTGGACCGTAAACAACATCTAGATACATGGAGAATGGGTCGAAGCTGTCAAAGACTTCATTGTGCTTGGATCAGCTGTGATCAACTCATGGAAGCAGTAATCAGGAAATCAAATGATGTATTGCATTAGGGAAATCTGCTGAACAAGACCTCTTTAAAGTTGTGAAGAATAATGTCAGTTTGATGACTAAGGTACACCTGATCCAAGCCAGGGTGTTTTCAATAACTTCATATATATGTGTAAGTTGAACAGTGAATAAGGAAGACCATAAAAAACGTGGTGCATTTGAGTTATGGTGTTGGAGGAGAATATGAAAAGTTCTATGAACTGCCAAATAAAAAACAAATCTGTGCTGGAAGAAGTACAGCCAGAATGTTCCTTGGAAGCCAAGATGGCCAGACTTTATCTCTCATATTTCAGACATATTACCAGGAGGGACCAGTCCTTGGTGAAGTATATATTATGTTTGGTAAAATGGAGGTTTGTAGGAAAAGAGAAAGCGCTCCAATGAGCTGGATTGACACAGTGGCAGCAGCACATGGCTGAAGTGTAACAATTGTGTGGTTGATAGGCAGCACTGGCCAGTGTTTCATTCTTTGTGCATAGGGTTGCTGTGAGTTGGTACCGCCTCAATGGCACCTAATAAACAAAACAATGGTTAGACTGAAAAAAAACCTCACTGTAATCAAGTCGATTCAGACTCTTAAGTAGTTCTGTCTAGTGTTTCCATCAGCTGGTGGTTTTGAACCACCAACATCATGGGTTAGCAGTCCAGTGTTTATCCTACAGTACCACCCCAGTGATCAAAGTGATGTTAAATAATTCACTTCCATAATACTGTGGAAAGAAATGATGGGGGTATTTCAATATCATCACTCAGAGTAAGGGCTGGCACTCACTGAAACAGATCATCAGTTGTTCATTTACAAACTCAGGTTCAAGCTAAAGAAAATTAAGTCTACAAGAACCAAAATAGAACTTTGAATATATTCTATGTGAATTTATAAACCATCTCAAGAGTAGATTTGCTGTATTGAGCAGTAATAACAAGTTGTGTGATGACTTTATAAATATTATGCATGATGGAAGCAAAAGGTTATTAAAAAGACAGGGAAAAAAAATAAAAAGGATGTCAAGAGAGACTGAAACTTGCTCTTGAATATAGAGTATTTGTTAAGTGCTGTCCAGTTGCTTCTGACTTAGGGTTTCCAAGAAGCAGCTGGTGGGTTTGAGCTGACCTTGTGATTTGCAGTCCAGTGCTGATCCTATGAAAGCAAATGGAAGAAATTATTATGTAAAAATGGTTAACAGAAGATTTCAGAGGCATCTTGAGAAGACAAAGTAATATGTAATGAAAGGTTCAAAGAGCTAAAGTTGGAATATTGAAGGACTTGATGGCATGATATTGAATGACACTGGAAGCATCAAAGAAGATGGAAAGAATATACCGAGTCACTATACCGAGAAGAATTGATCAAAGTTCAAACATTTCAAGAGGTAGCATAGAATAGAAAACTGATGGTGTCAAAGGAAGACATCTAAACTAGATTGAAGGCATTGGTAAAGATCAGATAAATTAAAACGAGACTTCAGAGGACTGATGTAACACCAGTTGAGGTGTTTCAACAAGCAGATGCAGCACTGGTGTTTCTCAGTTGCCTGTGCCAAGAAATTTGAATCAACCTGACCAACTAGAAAGAGTTCCATATTTTTGCCCATTCCAAAGAAAGTGATCCAACAGAATGTGGAAATTATCAAACAATATCATTAGTATCAGATGCAAGTAAAATTTTCCTTAAACTAATACAAAGACAGTTACAACAGTACATCCAAAGAGTATGTGCCAGAATTGCAATTGAGTTGAGAAGAGGTATAGAATGAGGAATATTATTGCTGTTAGCAAATAGAGTTTAGCTGAAAGCAGAGAATACCAGAAAGAAATTTACCTGTGCTTTATTAACTCTGCAGTAGTATTGTACTGTGTGGCTCATAATAGATTATAGATAACATTATGAAGAATGGAAATTCCAGAACACTTACTTGTGCTTGTGTGAAACCTATACATAATCTGTATACTGAGCAAATAATCTGAGAAGCTGGACTATATGTAGAAGAATGTAATATCAGGATTGGATGGAGATTTACTAGCAATCTGTAACATGCAGATGACATGCCTTGCTTGCTGAAAGTGAAGACTTTGAAGCACTTAATGATGAAAATCAAAGACTACAGCCTTTGGTATAGATTACACTTTAACATCAAGAAAACAAAGATCAAGGTGCAGCTATTGGTCTCTCCATTTGCAAAAGAAGGGGAAGTGATGAGAAAACTCACTAATGGCTTGCAGTTGAGTAGTCCAGTGAACTAATGGAACATGGGCATCAGTCTCCACAACTCTGAGACCAGAACTACCAACTGCTCTGAGAGAGATCACATTAGAAGGTCCTGGATAGAGTGGCAGAATATGTGGAACAAAGCTCAAAATTATTAAAACAAAACAAATGACCAGGCTTACTGGTCACAAAGCGACTGGAGGAACCTAAGACTATGATCATTGACTCCTTTTCAGATCTGGAAAAAGATTCACTCTTGTGGCCCAACTTTCAGTCAAGCAGTAGATAGGCATAGTGGTAACAACAACACTAGTAAGGTATGCTCACTGTGAATGATGGAATAGTCAATCATTCAAAATCAAAGGGGCAACATATACCTAAGGACAACGGTGAGAAGGGATGGGAAGATGGGTGGAATGGAGATGGGAGCCACAGGGAGGAAGCAGGATAGCTGTTGCATGGAGGGGATTGCAATCACTGAAATGCAATGAAGTGAAAGTGTATGATTTGTTGAATGTAAAACTGATGATCTTGTCTGTAAACCTTCACTCATTTCAAGTTAAAATAAAAAGTTAAAAAAAGAAAAAAACCAAAGATCTTCGAACTGGACTAATAAGCAACATCATAATAAATGGAGGAAAGAGGGAAGTGGCAGCCAAGATATAAAACAATACATTATATTGGACAATGTAAAAAACCGTAAAGTGTTAGAAAGCAAAAATGTCACAATGAGGACTAAGGTGTTCCTGACCCAAGCCATGGTGTCTTCAGTCACCTCAGATGTATGTGAAAACTGGACAATAAGTAAGGAAGACCTTAAAATAATTGATGCATTTGAATTATAGTGTTGATGAGGAATATGAAGTATACCATGAATCTCACCCCTGAATAATGATCAAATCTGTCTTGGAAGAAGTGCAGCCAGAATACTCCTTAGAAGTGAGGATGGTGAATCTTGGTCTCAGTTCCTTAGGGCCTGTTATCAAGAGGGATCAGCCCCTGGAGAAGGACATCATGCTTAGTAAAGTAAAGGGTGAGTAAAAATGGAAAGACCCTTACCCAGATGGAGTGACACAGTGGCAGTAACAGTGAACTAAAACATGAGAATGGCACAGGATTGGGCAATGTTTCACTCTGTTGTATATATTTCATTCACTGTGATTCTGAACTGACATGACATCATTTACTGGCGACCACCATTATACTGGCCCAAACCTCAGGGGGTGGGGGAGTAAAGCAACTGATTATATCTTGATCTCTTGGTCCTCCTGAACTTCAAAAGTATACTTATGCTAAACTCTATTATTATTGATTAGAAGAAGCATTACTAAGCAAATTACCTATTGACATTAAAGATGTGGCTATTTTTTTAAATAAAATATATGCATCTAAAGATGCCATTTCAACTGTTTCTACTTGTAGAATTCAGTGACACTACTTACATTCTTCAAGTTGTGCTTCCATTCTTGTTATTCTTTTCCACACAATTCCACTACTATTCTCTTAAACATACTGCTTTCCATTCAGCTGTCAACTTGCCATTGCCAATTAGATCTCACATAGATAGTTCTTTAGAAGAACACAGTGTATAAAGTACATGTACTTCACTATTTAAAACAAATCATTTATGGGCTCTCAGAAGACTTCCGTAATAGTTTTGGTTTAAGTATTAAAGAATATTACAGGACAATAATTTTGGGACTCATGTAATTATAATGACTCCTGAAAGTCTGGATTCCGTCAAGAATTTGAAATTTGAAACAGCTATTTTGATTAGTGGACTCCTTGTATGGTGCTGTAGGATAAGCACTGGACTGCAAACCACAAGATTGGTGGCTCAAACCCACCAACTGCTCTTCGGAAACCCTGTGCAGTCATAATGAGTTGTAATTGACTTGACGGCACTTGACAACAACAACATTTTGATTAGTGGGCTATCATTAAGAGATAGTCTTTTTTGATACATAAGAAACTGGCTCAGTTTATTGGTATTTCAGCGTTTGGCGCTGGCTTGGTATTATAATAGCCAACCATTGCCAATCAGAGTTTTTTCTGTTGATTGGAATTTATTTTAGAAAAATTTGGAAACATTCCATTGCCTCTTAATTACATTTTCCACAAAATATTTTAAAGCCAGTTATATTAACCATGAAAAAAATGAAATAGATCTCATATAAATGTTTATTTTTAGTTACTGTTGTGTTTACAAATTACAGTTAAGCTTACCTAAATTATTTGTACTAGACATTCATTAAAGATTCATAATCACTTCATTATTTCTAACTAGATAATGACCTACATACTGCTTCATCACTGTCCTTGGGTGCAGAGGATTCCCAAGTAAGTTTTATTCTTTATAGATGTGAAGGAAGGAAAATATATTTGAATTTATACTGTTAATTATAAAGTATGGTATAGCTAGTTGAATTGTGGCAGATATTGGTGACCTATCGTCTTTTTCTCATTCTTTTTTGTAGGACATCTTTTAGGATTCTCTTTTTAGTAACATTTTTTTTTTGGAGTGAGAAGAGAACACAAGATATTTATCGTGTCTGTTTAGTTTGCTTTTAACTACTGAGGTTTCTTCAGTATTTTATCTGATGGCCATCTTGACTAACTATTTTCTCATATCTAAGAATTATATTTACTTTTGTTCCTCAATAATGTTAGAAACTTTGTGAATTTAGTGTTGTTCAGCATATTTTATATACAGTACAACTTTCTGTTATAAATTGTCCTTAAAATCCTTTAGAATAGACACAAGATCAAGGTTAATCCATGTGATTCCCCTGGGGTTAAGTAAAGTTATTAACTTTTCTTTCTATGGGCCTCCAAAGCATGTGTTTTCTATATTAAGTATCCCTATTGAATAAAGTAGCCACCAAATACTTTTTTTTTTTTTTGTAGGTACAGACAGCAGCTGCCTCCCTAGCAAAGGTCTTTGTCTTTACTGCTAGTAATGTAGAGCGAATAGGAAGGAGGTACTTTTTTGTTGTCACAGTGTCAAGATAGAGAAATCCTTCCTGCTTCCAGGATTAAATTTCCCAAATGAGTTATTTGGAACACTAGTAGTAAGATAATAGTTTATGATAAGAAGGATTTTAAGGTCAGTTAAACTGAATAAAATTTGTATACCTTATAGATTAATTCTACACAATTGAATAACAAGGTAATAAAATTCCTGTACTAAAGAAAGTTATTTGAGTAATGTAATTTTTCATGAACAGCATCAACAATTGATGCAATTACTCACATATCCAGTTTCCCTTAATATAGAAGAATATTCTGCTTCTAGTTCTCAAGGAAGAAATGTATCTCTACTGATAAAAATGGAATTAGAGAATGTATGTAAAGAGAGGTTATATTAACTTATTTATCTTGGTCTAAGATGTTAAATCTGAATAAAAGTAAAATTTCAGATTTTTTTTTTAGACAATGTTAAAGTTTTATACTCCTTGAGGCCACACGTAAAATCATATAAATTACTATCTAACCATTATTAAATAAAAATGTCAATTAAGTTTTGAAAAGTGATGTTATCACACTCAGGTGATAAATAAGGTGATAAACTCTTACTTGAAATAATAATTAAGATGTCATTTGAAGCATTTTAAGCAGTTGCTAAGTATTAATTTATTCAAACTAGCTTTAATTGCAAAGTCCTAAAAATTCATGTTATTTCAGAGTACCGAGATGAATATGTCAGTACCAAAGAAAATTTGTAAAAGGTAGGTATATGCTATAATAATCATACAGTTTTTTTGCAGATACTTAGGTATACTTCATATACAAGTATATACATCTTGATTACTTTTATTTTTCCTTTTCATAGACCATGCATTCTCATACTTGACTCCTTGAAAGCTGCTTCTGTACAAAATACAGTTCAGAATTTACGAGAGTAAGTAGTGGCCATTTTGCTTCTTGGCATTCTATCTAAAATTTGAATAATTTTGAAGTTATAAGAATTATTAAAAAGACTATATCAGTAATTATAATTTATTATAATTTAGATGAGGTCTGCACAGTAATCAATAATAAATTCACCTATTAATATGTTATTGTTCAAGCATGATTATTTCTCAAAGATTATATGAGAAGTAAATTAAGAATTTATATTTATAGTTGAACAAAAAGCATGAGTTTTTATAAAGGAACAATTGCAGATACTATCAAAAGACTACCCTTCAATTCTGATACCAGTTGCAAGTTCAAAGGATTCCCAGAACCACCCTCAGATTTGATAATTCACTAGAGAGGACTCATAGAACTCACTGAAAACTATTATTATACTAAAGGATATAAGATTTATTACAGCTAATTGTTGTTGCTGTTGTTAAGTGCTGCTGAATTGGATCTAGCTCATAACAACCCTGTATAGGGTTTCTGAGTTGCTGCTGGTGTGTTTAAACTTCCAACCTTGTGGTCTGAAGTCCAGTGCTGATCTTAAAGTGCCACACCAGGTATCTATTACAGCTAATAGATGTAATTTATAGAGCTAAAGGATATAGTGTATTACAGCTAAAGGAGTCAAACAAGGGAAGAATTGTATATGGTAAAGCCATGACAGTACCAAACACGAAGCTTCTAGTCCTTTTCTCATATAGTCAGGATGCTATTACGTTTCCATTACTGATGTGTAACAATATACACGGATTATTGTCAACTAGGGAGCTCTGGTAGTGTAGTGGTTATGAATTGGGCTTCGAACCGCAAGGTCAGCAGTTCGAAACTACCAGCTATTCCATGGGAGAAAGATGAAGCTTTCTGTTCCCATAAAGATTTACATCCTTGGAAACCCTGTTCATGGTCGCTATGAGTCGGAACTGATTCCATGGCACATAACCACCACCACAACCAGGGAAGCTCACCAGAGCCTTGGTATCCAGAATTTTTTTTTTGAGTCTATAGTGTAGGCATAGTTGACAGCACACATGACTTATCTCAGTTTCCAGTTCCTTACAAGGTTGAACTAATTACTGTGTGACCCAAAATATCCCCCTTTACATCACATTGTTGATATGGCGTTCGTTTCCATCATAAATCACATTGTTTCTAACTGGCTGGTGTAAGGCCTCCAGTAAACAAATACACTTCTAGTTGGTATGACGTGTCAAGGGGTTAGAGATTATCTCCCAGAAATAAAGGCAAAGATCAGATGTCTTTGTGGGCAAGGTCAGTTTCTTTCTCTTACTTTTTTAAAAAACCTTTTGATTGTGAATTGGGTGAAGGTTTATAGAGCAGATCATCAGTTTTACATTGAACAGTTAATATGCATTTGTTTCATACTATTGATTGCAGTCTCATCAGTGTAACATCACTTATCTCACTTCTTCCTTATATTCCCTGTTTTCATTCCTCCTTCTTTCCTAACACTTCAGACTCTGGCCTTGGGTTGGGTAAATGCTGCTTTTTTTTTTTTTTTTTATCTCGAATGTTTGATTATTCTAAGATACGTATACCTCACTAGTTTCATTAGTCCCCTTATAGTTCTATCTATTATATAGCTGGAAGTTGAGCCATGGGTGTGAGGTCAGTTTTAGACTTGAAGGGTGACCAAGGACGATAGATAGGCTCAGGGGTTCCATTAATCCCTATAAGATTGATTTCTTTACTGCACAGGCCACCTGCTAGCCTTTGGTTAAGGCACTCTTTCAGCAGAATGATCTTATGCCTAACATTTACAGAAGGGATGGAATTATTTAAATAAGCAGATAATCTGTCTGTGAAGCTATTTACGCTTGTTTTCATTACCACTTCAGAAAAAAAAAACGAGAACTCTGAAATTCTTATCATTACACAATTTTTGTGTGTGTGATTTTGTCATTTACTGTGACCTGGAATAGTGTTTCAATAAAACTTTAAAAATCACTTGGTTTACTTTGTGATATAATTGACTTTCAGTATTTAAGTTATGAAAGTTGAGTTATTGGAAAAAAGTCTAGCTTTTTTGAAAATCAGATTTTCTTTTAGTAGTACGTGTGAAGATTCTTATATAATGTAAGTTTCACTGTTAGGTTTAGCCTTTGGATGTTTGACTTGAGAGAATACATCTAGCAGCAGATATTTTTCCAGCTTTGTGAAAGTGTTATAAATGGTAGACATTTCTATTTGAGTCACTCTACTTATTGATGATTTCAGGTATTTAGAGGTAGAGTGGGAAGTTAAAAGAAAAACTCATCGTGAATTCAGCAAAACAAACATGGTGGACCTATGCCCTAAAGTTCCTAAGCAAGATAATAGCAGTGATTGTGGAGTATACTTACTGCAATATGTGGAAAGCTTCTTAAAGGTATGTGAAAGTATAAATAAGTTGTTGCAAGAATGGTGTGGAGACCATGATTGATTTCCTCCAACATTACAGAGGGGAAGAAGAATCACATTCAAAATCAAGAACAGTTCTTTTGAGGCAGAGGTCAGATATGTCTCCCCCCTTTAACCTTATTTACATTATGCCATACCAACCATCCCATCCATAGCGCTCTCTATTTCTCTGCTGGGTTAAATAATCTGTTGCAGTGGCCACATAGAACTAGCAGGCAGTACTCATGATTATGGGGTTTATTAGGAAAGTGAACAGGGTGCAATTCAGCATCAGAAGGAACTCAGAATACTGCACTTCACTAATTAGGACTGCTTCTTCTCAGTTGTGCTGTCAGCACATCTCCCTGTGGTCCTTGGTTTCAGCCACCTGGCCCTTTTCTCCTTTGCTCTCTTCAAACAGGGGTAATAAGCTCCTTTAATTCTGTTGATAAATGCCCAGAGGGCACCCAATTCTTGTAAGCCAACCCCCTGCCAGAAGGCACTCAGCTTTGTTCCTCCCATAAGTTGGGACTCTTACTGTTCTGTCTCTCTATTATGCTTCCTCTACTGCCATAGCATTTCCATGCAGGTATCCTGTGCTCTGCTTGTGGCTCTTCCTTTTTGATGGTTCTGGGATTATCTCTTCTTGCTTCTAAGATGGCTCCTTTTTAACCCAGTGGAATGGCAAAACTGACCAATTCCTAAATTATATTCCTGTATACCCTATTTGCATGGTGTCCTACCCAGTCATTTGGTGGAAGTTATATATCCAGTAAATCTACTTTGCCACAATTTACTGTCAGTTACCAGCATAATTGCAAGTTATTGGGTAAGCCTAGAGGTAAATGTTACAGGTAACCATGAAAATAGAAACAAAAAATAATAGAAGAAGATTTACAGATGATTCAGATAGCCAATTTGAATTTTCAAATGATTTGATTAATATGTTTGAGAAAATAGAGACAAAAATAAGCAAAGGAGACAATTAGATGAAAAATGTTTTTTAACTTTTTCTTGTGAATTGTGTGAAGGTTTACAGACAAGATCACCACCTTTACATTCAGCAAATTGTATACTTTGTTTTACCTCAATGATTATAGTCCCCTGCAACAATAGTTGTCTTACTCTCTCTTTGTGACACTCCTCATTTACATCCTATATTTCACAAATGAACAAACCAAAAATATTGATGTGCACTTAAGGAAGAAAAAATATATATAGTCATTTACATGTCCAAGGGGCACACATTCTAAGTCAGCCTTCCTGCAGAGACACAGCCTTTCTCAGTCCATGGGCCTCGAGCCAGCACTGCTGTGTCTCTCAGTGCTACTGTTACTGCCACCATCTCTGCTGTTGCTGCTTTTCTAGGTAGGGATCTCATGTTCCACTCATTCTTTTACTTCTTGATGGTCCTGGGATCGGCTATTCTTGAGTTCAAAGATAAATTACTGCCCCCTTTTGGTTACACATCTTCTGCAACTACAGTTGTGACAATCGCAATTAATCCTGCTAACAGTTGCTCACAGTTGAGTCATAGAATCCTATCATCACCATCCCTTTCACCAGATCCATCTGGAAAAGAAAGCAACTATTCAGTGGGGATTCTTACTTGCTCTACCTCATTCTGAAACTAAGCCCACTCATGAAAACTTGTAAGCCAGCCCCCCATTTTTGATAGCCTGTTTCTAAATTCTCTTCCCTATCAACTAGTATATTGAGGAAAGAAGGTTGTTCCTTGACATGAAGAAGCCTTTCCATTCTAGTTGAAATTTTGAGTCACTGCATTCATAGGCAAAAGTCTAGTTCATCAAATTACAGCAGTTTTCCCGTGTTCTCAGTATCAAACACCTTTATCTTCTTCAGCTTCAATTCTGGTCAACTAGCCATCAAAGCTAGATCAAAGGGGTACTAGCTGTCATTTTGTGTTTGATTTTTTTTGTGTGCGTGTGATACTGCTTATTTCTTTGTTCTGCTTGCTTTTCCTGTGCTGAGTTCTCTGTGTGTGTGTTTTTCTTTTAGCTTTTTCCTGTCAGTTTCTTCATAGTTATAATGTTCATAAAATCTTAATGGATTTTCCTTTCCTTTTTTTTTTTTAAAGTTTTATTGTGAATTATGTGATAGTTTACATGGGAGAACATTAGTTTTACATTCATTCTATCATATATCGTTTCATTGCCATGGTTACAGTCCCCTCCATGCATCATCAACCAACCAAAAGGTATACCCTGCAAGCCTGCCCCCCACACCCCTCTCCCTGGTCTTCAGAATTTTCCTTTTCTTGATTTGATGTGAAGGTACATTAAGTTTCTTTGAAGTTATTCTCTACTCTATTAATCTCTTCCCCATTTCAAAACAGTCTGTTTTATTTTGAAATGTACCTGACCTCCTTACCACCTTGAAATCTGTAGCTATATTTTCCCCTCCTTTTGTTTTGTAGTGTCATGATATAGACTGATATCTCAGATTCTCTATCTGTTAGTTTTATTCTCTTCTGGATACTTCCATATCTGGACCAAATTCTGGGTGGTGTTATCATGTATGTCAGTCTCTGGTGGTTTGCTTTTATTGGTTCTCAGTTCAGAAAACTCTCATTAGTATATTTTGGTGAGCTGGCTTGGCTTTTACAAAGTCCATTAATTTCAACTTACCCTGAAATGTTCTAGTTTTGCTCTCATACTTGATGAATAACTTTGCTAGGTATATGATTCTTCCATGGTAGTTTTTGTATATATCTCCCCATTGCCTTCTTGCCTTCATGGTTTATGCTGAGAAATCAGAGCTTAATCTTATTGATTTTCTTTTGTAGGTAATATTGTGTTTTTCCTGAACTAGTTTCATGATTCTTTCCTTGGCTTTGATTTTGGAGAATTTGATTATGTCTTGGTGATTTTCTTTTGGAGTCTATCCTGCCTGGTGTTTGTTCAGCTTCTTGAATGCTTATCTTCTCGTCTTTCATGTTGACAGGTAAACTTTGTTCCAGCAGCTCTTCAACTATCTTTTCGGTGGTCTGGAACTCCATATTCAGTCGTCCTCATGTTGTCCCACATGAATCTTAGGCTTTTTTTTTTTTTTTTCAGACTTTTTTCTGATTGTTCTTCTATCTTACTATTATTGAGAGATTTATTGTCAAACACGTTAATTTTGGCTTTCATTAGTTCAGTTCTACTCATTTTCCCTTTCAGTGTATTGTCAGCTTATGATATCTTAGTATTGTTCATCTGGATTTCTGTTAGAAGGTTTTGTATTGTCTCCAATGCTGTATGCATTTTTTGATTGTTCCCATAGCACTTTTTAAATATTTTCCTTGTTTTTTTTTGCCCTTTTTGTCAAATGCTTGGCTGTACCCCAATATAATTCTCCTGAATCCTTTTTCAGATAATTCTAGTGCCTCCTCTTCTTCAAAAGCATTTTCTGGCTCTTCCTCTTTATTGTTTATTTCAACTACTTTTTTTTTTTTCTTGTGTACTGAAAATTTCTGCAGCTTTCTATTCATTGTGGTGTTGTTATATTTGTATTAAGTTGATGAATGTATGTTGTATTCTTAGGCACTCAACAGTTGCCTCTTGGAGGATATGATCAGGAGATGAGGAGCTTTCTCTGTTTATACAGTTCCGTTTAGAGTGGTTGTAGTTGCTCCTCTGGAGTTTAGCTGCTGGTACTGTCATATACCCAGCTGGTGTGACTGTAGAGGGCATGGCTTTAGCTTGGCTACAAAGTCATAGCTGCTGTCTCCTGTCAGGCGAGGCAAGAAATGAAAACACTACCACAAGAGAGAAGGAGGTCAGAAAAGCAAAATTAAAAATAAAAATGAGAAAAACCCAGAATCAAACAATATAAAAACAATGAAACTGGGAAAAGAAAAAAACAAACCAAAACAGAAAAAAGTAGCAGGAAATTAAGGGTAATTAAAAGTAATTCTTAGCAGCACTATTTACAATAGCAAAAAGATGGAGACAGCCTAAGTACCCATCAGTTGAAGAATGGATAAACAAACTGTGGTACATCCACACAATGGAGTACTATGCTACCTTGAAAAACAACAGGGAAGCTGCAAACCACCGCATAACGTGGATGAACCTTGAGGACATTATGTTGAGAGATATTAGTCAGTCACTTAAGGAGAAATACTGCATAGGAGCACTATTGTAAAAGAGTAAGAAAAAGAATCCATACTAAAAGAGGAGGGGGGAAGGAAATTCTTTGCTGGTTACCAGGATGTGGGACTTGGGGGTGAGAGGAGGAAGGGGAATATGGAACACAGAGTAGGGAATAGAAACAGGATAGTTTGGGTGCTAGAGAGGGATGGCAATACACAAGAAAGGGGAGGGGAATGGAAGAATGGATGGGAGAACAGTTAGGCAGGTTTGCACGGGCTAAGTGGGACAGAGGTAAATAGTGATGTATGCTAAACCTTGGAACAACAGGATTCTGTGATACAGGGATTGAGCATGCTTTGAAACGGTACAAGAGGGGAAATAATGTTAAGATGCTTGGCTGTCTTTTTTTTTTTTTTTTAAAGTTTTAATTGTGGATTGAGTGAAAGTTTACAGGGCAGATCATCAATTTTACATTCAATAAATCATACACCTTGTTTCATTACAATGATTATAATATTCTCCATGTACCATCAGTTAACAGTATTTCTCACTATTCACTTTAGCTCTTTTAAAAAACAAAAACAAAAAATGCTCAGGCATATATAATAATTTACACCTCCACAGGGGGCATTCTGCAAGTCTGCCTCCTGGCCACCAGCTCTTAGTTCCTCTCTTCTCATGAATCTAGAGTCCTCAGCTGCTCCTATCGCCATGTCCTCATCTCTGCCTCTATCTCTGGGTGTCACTGCTTCTCTGGATAAGGTCCCGCATTCTGCTTGTTCTCTTCTCCCT